GTATATATACACAATGGAATATTATGCAGCCATCAAAAGGAATGAGATCTTGCCATTTCAACAACATGGGTGGAACTGGAGGGTGTTATGCTGAGCAAAATAAGTCAATCAGAAAAAGACATGTATCATATGACCTCACTAATATGAGGAATTCTTAATCTCAGAAAACAAACTGAGGGTTGTTGGAGTGATGGGGGTGGGAGGGATGGGGTTGCTGGGTGGTAGACATTGGGGAGGGTATGTGCTATGGTGAGCACTGTGAATTGTGCAAGACTGTTGAATCACAGATCTGTACTTCTGAAACAAATAATGCAATATATATCAAGAAAAAAAAAAGAATATAGCAGGAGGTAAAGAATGAAGGGGAGTAAGTCGGAGGGGGAGATGAACCATGAGAGATAATGGACTCTGAAAAACAAACTGAGGGTTCTAGAGGGAAGGGGGGTGGGGGGATAGGTTAGCCTGGTGATGGGTATTAAGAAGGGCACATTCTGCGTGGAGCACTGGGTGTTATGCACAAACAAGGAATCATGGAACGCTACATCAAAAACTAATGATGTAATGTATGGTGATTAACATAACAATAAAAAAAATTTTTAAAATAAAAAATAAAAAAAAATGCAGCAACATCTCACAGTTCAGGGGTAGAGTGAGAAGTCAGGAAGAGTTCAAACACCCAAGCAGCTAGAACATGGTGAAAGTAGAAGCAGCTAGGGTAGAGGCTTCAACTGTTCTGCACACAAAGCACAATAAGCGCTTGCAACCTAGACCATTTGCGGTTGCCCCATCTCTACCTTAGCTGCAGCCCTACAGAGCTGCTGCCCCACACTCTGGACTTGCAGCTGAGCAAAGGCATAGACAACTCAAGTCAAGAGATCTGTTGGAAAGAAAACAATAGGGGAAAATGTACAAATGTTAACATCTTAAGGTGAGTGGATAAAATATCCATTTCCTATTTACTTCCTCACCATGTCCACCTCTCCCAATCAACAGAGTCACTTTAGAAGTGTCTGCCAGTGTCAAATTGTTTTCCCACTTCCAGTGAATCAGAGAATCTAGAGCACAAAAAGTTAGAAAGTTCACATTCTCCATTCCTGTCTTTGGCAATAAGCACATTGAATTCTTCCCAAACTGTGTGGAACTGCTCACTTAAAGACTTCCAGGAAAAACCTTACTGTCAGAAAGTACATCCTAGTATTTTACCCAACCCTCCATGCTTCAGTTTAAACTCCCATGTTCTGTCCTCAAAGAAGGTGAAGGTGTGTGGCCTCCTTCTCTGTTGAGGGCTCGTTAAGTAGTTTCCAGATTCTATATGTTAAAAGTGATGCTGCTGTGAACATTCTTGTATATGTCTTTGATGTCAATATAAATGTATTTCTGCTCGGTGTGTACCTAGGAGTAAAAATGCTGGGTCATCCGGTATCTTTATGATTCATTTAGATTTTGTCATGCAGTTTTCCAAAGTGGTTGTACCAATTTACACTCCCACTGGAGGTTTACAAGATTTCTATCTGCTTTACATCCTCACCAGCACTTGCCTGTCTTCCTTGATAGTTTTAGTCATTCTCGTGGGGGAGGTAGTGGAGTTCCATTTATTTAAATTTGCATTTCCACAGGGATTTATGAAGTCAAGCTTCTTTTTCTATGTTCATTTGGCACTTGGATATCTGCTTTTGTAAATTACCTATTGAATTATTTTGCCCATTTTTCCAATAGGTTGTCTGTCTTTTTCATACTGACTTCTAGAAAGTCTTATATTCTGGATATGGGTCCTTTCTCAGCCATGTGTATGGAAACTATCTTGTCACCCTGTGGCTTACCTGTTTACTCTCTTACTGGTGCGTTTTAAGGAACAGTTTTCAAAATAATAACCTGACAGTCTTAAAACCTCAGATTCAGAACTTCCAGCCCATTCTACTCCAACCTCATCAATCCCTGAGTGCCTCCTGAACTGATGGTCCTATGGACCATTTTCAGGATTCCACTTTTCCACCTCATCGCAGTGTACAGACACATTTCTCCTTGGATAGGAGGCAAATTTGGAGAACTGGAGGTCACTCAGGGTGGGGGATGGATGATCTTAGTGTTTGCAGAACTGTGCTGCCTTTCAAGCTAAATGATGCTGAAATCACACAAATTCTGGCAGCCTCTGTATCTTTCCATAGCCTTGTCCCATCTTGGTTCATTAGCATGAGATTTTCGAAGCCACGGAGAATGTTCAAAAGTGCTTACTAGTAAATTACTTGACTCCTTCGGGCATCATGGTGAAGAAAGTTCACCTATATAATACCCCTTCCACCAAAGAGGAAATACTAATTTCAACTTCTAAAGTTTCTTCCCCACTTCCTCTATTTAGTGTATGAGGCAGCAACACCACCCACATCATAGGGGTCACTCACTCGCACCTGGGCCTGTGGCTTAGATGCTCTTCCCTCCACCCGGACTTTGCATCTGCCTTTATCTGGACCTATGTCCCTCCTCTGTGCCAGGCCAGGCCCCATGTTGCTCTGCAGGATTGTGCTGTTCTTCGGTAAGTCACCAAGCGTGAGCTTTCCCTCTTGGGCACCAAAGACTGTAAGTCATACTATGGGACTTCTCATTTCACCTTTCTGGATTCAAGCGGGTTTTATGGCTGGAGCTTGAAATGAGTGTGTGCACATGGGTGTGCTTGACAGAGATGTGGTGTGGTGGGGGGCCTCCCTGATGTTTCCTATCCCATTTTCCTTGGTCCTTGGAAGGGCAGGCTTTCAATATCAGAGCTAAATTAGGGAGGCAGAAAATCACATTGTGAGGCCCAATGACATGTTTACCCTGTCAAATAAGATGAAATTACTCATCAGGCTGTCTCAAAAGGAAAATGAAGTTATAGAAGGAAAGAAGGCTTTGGGTAGGGGGTGGGCTGGAGGGATCAGGGAAATGGAAAAAGGCAGTTCTGTGCATTTTGCTCAGCAATAGGAAATGGGCTTTTACAAAAAGATACCTTGTCATGAAGCCTCAGTGTTTTCTTAGAAGCAGTCACCCATGACCAGGCTTCTCATGTGGTCAAGAGGCTTTGCTCTGAGTGTCCAAAGCCCTTTACAAACTGGCCATCCCCCTTCTGCCTATGTCTTTTCTCTGTCAGGGATGAGGAGGGTCTGTTTTGGGTCTGACTGGTCCTTGGGGAAGGTCTGAAGGATCAAATCCATTCTCCCTGATCTATATCTCTCTCCTTGACCCACCTCCCCAGGGGCCAGTCACCCATGCCAGCGATGGAAAGCCTGCTCCTCCAATAGTAGAGAATCATGAGAGTGGGGAGACGGTCACTAGGCCCCCCAGACTCAACTCAGTCTCAGCCACAATTACCTTCTACACTTAGAAGAAACAAGTCTGGACAGAGTCACACTTGATGCTTGGGGACCCCAGAAAACCAGCCTAAGATGCTGGAACCCAGGGCTAGATGTGGAGAAACAGAGTTACCCTAAGTGCAGAGTTGCTATTTCCTCTTAGATATGGGCAGAGACAAAGAAACAAGCACTGAAGGCCTGCTTTGTAGTGCGTAATGTATCTCATCTAACCTTTAGAATCATAGGGCAAGTATTTTTCTATCCCTATTAAACAATTGAGGATACTGAGGTTCAAAAAGTTTATGAAACTTGCATAGAATTACCCTGCTAGCAAGAGTAAAACAGAGATGCAAACCCAAGTCCATTGGTGCTTTCTCCATCCCACCGTGATACTTCCAGCAGGGCTGTGGTTGGGTTCCAATCAAGTAAGCCTGGAAAATAAAATTCATTTCAAGTTCCTGGTGGGGTATGTTCACACAACAAATGGTGCCTATTACTATTATTGACTATCAGAGATTCAAGAGGCCAGGGGCCCTGACGCTGAGCGTGCTGGTACACAGCTATACACTAAAGGCGTATTTGAAGTTTAGAAGGTGAACCTTAATTTTCTTCTGAGCTGAGCATTAGCTAAGTTCAGTGCCAGGACTGGAACCCACCCTGTGTAGACACACACACACCTATGACAAGTATCTCAGAGCTCCCGCAACACCACCACTCCCTAGCACCATGGAAGGCACGGCTTGGCAAAGCAGCATGCTCCAATGTGCTAGAGCTCAGTTATGAGCTAGTCCTTCATGCTTTGCTGAAACCTGCCTCCCTGGTCTCTCTCATTCCCATGAAATAGTTCCACTTCTGCCTGAAGTCTCTCCCCCTCTTTTAAGCTCCACCCATTGAATATTGGAAGACCACTGTGTCCCTACTCTGCTGTGTCTTTCTCAGATAAGTATCCCCCGACCCCTCCAGTAGGGAATGGTTTCTCAGCCCTGTTCATCATCCTGTTCTGCTTGGTCTCGATGCACCTGGTCAGTGGGCCAGGAGCTGGGCCTTCCCCTCCTCCCCACCATGGCCTGACTAGCACCAAGATCGACCGGGCTGCCGTCTCCATTGTCCGGGACTCTGTTGTGTGGCTTATGCAATGGCTGTGTCACCACTTCATCTTCAGCCTGTAGCAAACTGGGGTCCACGGTCCCCTCTGTAGGAAGGGCTGTAATGCAGCCCCCGCCCCGCTGCGCTGCCCACGGCCAGCCGGCTTCATCACAGACACTGGCTCTGCTGGCACAGCTCCCAGGTGTCACAGCACTGGACAGCAGGTCATCGGGGCTGGGGACACGAGCTCATCTGAAGTGTCCCTCTGCTCTCTGGATGCCTTCTCTCTTGTAGGCTTCTGTGCCCTCAGCCCTGTTTACTCACCACTTTGAAGCTGCAGAGGTGTTTTTCCGGTAAACAGGGGAAAGAAGAGGGGCATCACTACATTGCAAGGTTTTAGTCACCCTGAGGTTAGGCCTTCTTTCTGCTTGCAGTGAATGCAGTCACCACGTTTCCAGGGAGTGGCTCGCTATACGCAACCGCTCTGTAAGGAAGAAATGACTGTCACGCTTCTTATTGTATAGGCAGAATCAGGAATTGAAGGCTATTGGGATCCAAACAGTGTATCCAAGTTCACACAGAAAGAGATGGATTCATGAGTCAAGGTCAGGTCATGTGATTCCAAATCCTGCATGCTTCCCACTACACCAAGCTCAGAGGAAAAGATGTGTTTGAGATGGGGCCAGGGGGAGATGGAGGGATGGCAAGAAAGACTCATCATTCTGCACACACTGAAAGCTTGTGGTTGAGCTAGCCCAAGCTGAGCAGAGAAGTGAAGCTGAAAGCCTCTGTCTGGGTCCCAGGCCGTGTGGACAACAAGGGTGACAGCATGTGAATCAACAAGCCAAACAGCCGCATCTCAAGCCCCTGGTAAGAGGGTCTTCCCCCACCCCTCCCAAGGCCACTCCCACATTTCTCCGTCTCTGCACAGACCCTAGGACCGGTCAGTGTGAAGGACACAGTAGGGCCTGAGGACAGCTGGCCCAACTGTGTTCGGCCCTATGACACTCATTGCTTCACCCCTTGTCCCAAAGTCTAGAACACTCTCCACCACTTCATATCCGGCTGTGCCCCTCCATCCCTTGGGCTACTCATACTTGTCTAACCTCATCTATCATCATATCGTGGCCTGGCCTCTCTTCCCAGGCCACTTTGCTCCTCTAACGTTCATTCATTTAAGAGCATTAGGGGCAGGCACCTGGGTGGCTCAGTTGGTTAAACGTCTGCCTTCAGCTCAGGCCGTGATCCCGGGGTCCTGGGATCGAGCCCCGCATTGGGCTCCCTGCTCAGCGGGGAGTCTGCTTCTCCCTCTGACCCTCCCCCATCTCGTGCTCTCTCTCTCTCTTTCTCATTCTCTCTCTCTCTCAAATAAATAAATAAAATCTTTTAAAAAATTTTTTAAAAAAAGCATTAAGGGCACCTGGCTGGCTTAGTCAGGGGAGCATGTGACTCTCGACCTCACAGTCATGAGTTCAGGTCCCACACTGGGCATGAAGTCTACTTAAAAATTTTATTTTTAATTAAATAAAAATAAAAATTCTGCTCTGAGCCAACGTGGCTCAGTCAGTAGAGCATGCGGACTCTTGATCTCAGGGTCATGAGTTCAAACCCCATTTTAGGTGTAGAGCTTACTTAAATTAAAAAAAAAGCAATAAAGCAAAAAGCATGATTAGGTCAATTACATAAAAATATTTTGGGGCACCTGGCTGGCTCGGTCAGTAGAGCATGTGACTCTTGATCTCGGGGTTGTGAGTTCAAGCCCCACGTTAGGTATAGAGATTACTTAAAAATAAAATCTTAAAAAATAATAATAAAAAGATAGATAGATGATAGATAGATAGATAGATAGATAGATAGATAGATAGATAGATGATAGATAGATAATAGATAGATAGAAGCATCAGGGGCACATATAAAGGTATGCAAACAGTGTGATGCACTGGCCTGTTTGTCATTCCCTCACCGATCGAGATGGCAGGCCAGGTCCCTCAGCCTTTAGTGATTCCTCACCTCCTTCATCAGTCACTTCCATGCTGGACCCTCCAGAGCTCTGTAGACAGATTGGGCCGCCAGACTGCATGGTCTGTCTTTGCTCTCTGAGATCTGCAGGTGCAGATAGGAGCTCGGACCCACCTGTGCAAGGGTCCACTCTTCTGTATCCTACTTCGTGTGCCCTGCCTGCCCCACATGGCTGGGCACAAAGGAAAGCCTGCAAGTGTTTATTCAACAGAGGCTTGTTGAACACAGACTATTCCTGGCACAGATCCTAGGCATAGGTGACGTGACTGTGAACAAGACAAGCAGAGTCCCCGCTCTCGCAGAGCTTACATTCTACACAGAGGGAGACAGGTGATAACAAGTAGGCAATTTAAAGAATAAGATAACTTCAAATAGAGACAAGTGTTCTGATGATAATACAGTGGGGTGTTGTTAATAGTGATTGAGGAGAATTCTTTCAACTGGGGGTCCCAGGAAGACCTAAGGGTGTGACATTTGAACTGAGATAGGGCAGAGTATTCTAGGCAGTGGGTCCAACATAAAAGCTGAGTGGCTGGAGATGCTGAGGGCCTGGGGGGGCTGGGGAACTGAGGGGCTGAGTGGCTGGGGGCTGAGGGGCTGGGGGGCTGGGCATTTGGGTAGCTGGATGGTTGAGTGGCTGAGTAGCTTGGTGGCTGGGGAGCTGGGTGGTTAGGTAGCTGGCTGAGTAGCTCAGTGGCTGGGAGGCTGTGTGGTTGGTGGCTGGATGGTTGATTGGCTGAGTAGCTTGGTGAATGGGGGCTGGATGGCTAGGTGGCTGGTTGAGTAGCTCGGTGGCTGGGTGGCTGGGTGGTTGGGTAGCTGGGTGGTTATGTGGCTGGGTGGTTGGGTGGCTGAGTGGCTGGGGGGCTGGATGAGTAGGTGCCCAGGGGGTTGGGTGGTTGGTTTATTGAATGGGTATGAGCACCCATTCCTGAGATGACAGGCCTCCTTGTGAAGGAGGCTTTCTCCTCCTTACCCTAATTCTATCACTCTGTTCTCTTACAGTTCCCTGTGTTGGGCAAACTGGTGAGTCTTTTTTATGTCTTTTCCAATTCCAAATATGTCTCTGGGCCAAAGATTGATTGATGGGCCATTGGGTCCCCTGGAAACATTTTCAGAGCCGCAGACTAGGCCCATTCCTCAGGAGTCCTGGCTGATGCCCAGGCAGAAATGAGACCTGGGACCCCACTGGGCTCAGGCTGAGGATAATTCTAGGTGATTCAAGTCCCAGGAAATGGCTCTGGGCCTCATCTTATTCCATTATAGCTGGCACTGGCCTTTGTCTCCTCCTCTCAGAGTGTCTCTGAAGCTCCTATATCCCCCACTGACCAAGGCCCTGGACTCCCTCCCGTTCCCTGTATGTTCAGAGAAGGCAGCTTTGTCCCTCCACTACCTCTGCCTTCCAGTCCATCCTGACCTGCATGGGGCTTTCTGTCCAGTAGGAAAAATGCTGGCCTATGAACATCTTGACCGCCAAGGGCATGTTCTATGGTGCCAGGGTGGGATGAGGGGGTGCTGGACAGAATTCAAACCCCCGTGGGCTCCATGCTGCTAGAAAGAGCAGCAGCAAAAGCAAGGCTCAACATTCAGTTCTGTGTGAGCCTCCAGGGGAGGGGGCGGGTCCTAAGGATCCAGAGAGACCCAGGCAAAGGCAGGCTATGCTGGGGCTCCCCACCCATTCCTCCTCATTGCTCTCAGCTATCAGGCCTGGCTCCTGAGGCTGCCTGGGACCACTGGTGTCTGGCTTGTCAAAAAAGTATGGTCTGGGGACAGGCCCAGCCTGGGACTGCCCTGCAGATGGTGCTGGCCCCCAGGAGCTCATCTCTTGTCCACGTCAGGCTGTAGACTGCATTTTAGGAATGAGGACAGACAGAATGCATTTTAGGAATGAGGACAGACAGGACAGATCCCTCCCCAGGACAGTGGTGGAAATGAAACTCCCTGCGGGGGGGGGTGGGAATGGGGGCTGGGCTGGGAGAAGGTTGACAAGGAAAGCAGAAGGAGCAAGCCTGGGGGTGGGGGGACACTCCCCACGCCCTCCCCCCGGCTTCTGGCTGGTAGGCTGTGTGCAGTTGTCCTCGGAGGTGGAAGCAGCACAGAGTTGCCCTGGTGGAGCAGGGGGTAAGTAGCCCATCTGGGGGGTGAGAATTGGGTCAAGAGGAAGGAGGCAAAACAATGATGGAAGGAATTCAACTCGACCCAAGCTTGGCGATGTTGGAAGGGCAGCTAGAAAGGAGCCGAGGAGGAGGTACAAGAGAAGAAGACCAGAGAGAAGGTGTGAGGAGAGAAGAGGCAGGGGAGAGGAAGGAGGGGAAAGGAAAGCAGAGGACCAGCCCTGGTCTGGCACGAGGGCCTGGGGGACGGGGCGGCCACGCAGGTGCTGCCCAGGAGCCTCCATCCCCAGGGGAGGCCCGAGGCTGGAGGACGGAGGGAGAAAATGGGCTGATGGGACGTGCGGCTCCAGGATGACCCCGGTCCTGTGTCTCACAGGCTGGTTGTACCTCCGAACCTTGCCAGACCCCGTGTTTGAGGGGGACATCCTGATTCTGCAGTGCCAAGGATGGAAGAAAGCAGCCCTGTCCCGGGTCCAGTTCTACAAAGACAAGAAATTACTCCGCACCCCGAAGGCCAAATGGATTCTGCACATGGGGACAGCAACACTGGAAAGCAGTGGCCAGTACAGCTGCACTGGGAAGGTGACCTTCATCCCGCACCTGGGCACACAAAGGTCAGAGATGACCACGGTTCAAGTCCAAGGTGAGTCACCAGCTTCGGGGGTGTCGGGGGTCGTGGGGGCTAGGGTGCTGCTCAGGGATCTGGTCTCTAGAGGTCAGCAGCCCTCCCTCTGGCTGCCCCTGATGCCGGGCTGACCACAGAGCCCTGAGATGTCCACCATGCTGTCCAAATGCCCTGCCCCCGCGGGGTACATCTGGACCCCGGGGAAGGAGGGGGATGCCCTGGGCCACGGAAGCACCCTGAACCAGCCCAGCCACTCAGTCCCAGAGACCCTGGGCCAGACCCTTCCCTTCTGGGGACCAGATGCCCTACAAGGCCCTCTGGCTCTGGCTCAGGATTCCAGAGGGGCTGGGGTGTAGTCATGGGATGAGAGGTGAGTCCTGGGAGACAATGGCAGTGTCTGTCATGGGGCACGGGGCTGTGGCCTGGGATGTGCCCTAGCTTAGACCCCCGCCTCTGGGGACTCAGGGTTCGGGAGTTCCCCATGAGCCTGGGCCTGTTTCTCCCCAGAGCTGTTCCCGCCTCCAGTGCTGAGTGCTGTCCCTTCTCCCGAGCTCCGTGAGGGGAGCCCGCTGACCCTGAGATGCCAGACGGAGCTGCACCCCCAGAGGTCGGCCTCTAGGCTCCTCTTCTCCTTCCACAAAGATGGCCGCACCTTGCAAAACTGGGGCCCCCACTCAGAGCTCTGCCTCCCAGAAGCCCAGGTGGGAGCGTCTGGGCTTTACTGGTGCCAGGCCACCCCTGAGGGTAGCAGGGTCCAGAAACAGAGCCCCCAGCTGGAGGTGAGGGTGCAAGGTAAGTGGGGAAGAAGGGAAGACACTCCCCAGGGATATGGGCTTCAGGTAATGGGACCCCTGGGCCTGTGGGGAGGGGTTCCCAGGGGAGGAGGGGCCAGGGGCCTGGGTGGTGTAGGTGAGCCTCCCGCCCCATGTGCTGCCCCAGCTCCTGTGTCCCAGCCTCTGCTCACCCTGAGACCCAGGTCCACTGGCCTTGCTGTGGGGAACGTGGTGGAGCTCCTCTGTGAGACCCAGAATGGCTCCCCTCCAATCCTGTACTCATTCTACCTGGACAAGAAGATCCTGGGGAACCACTCTGTGCCCCATGGAGGAGCCGCCTCCTTCCCCTTCACTGTGATGTCAGAGCAGGATGCTGGTAGCTTCTCCTGCCAGGCGGAGAACAATGTCTCCAAAGAGACAAGTGAGCCCAGGACACTGTCCCTGGATGGTATGTCTTGTCCCCCACCCAGGCTCTGAGCCCCAGCAAGCTGGCAGGGGTCAGGTCTCACCCCTCTGTGTACCCCCCACCCACACCCTGCACTGCATGAGTGAGATGGACCCTGCTTGGGGTATCCGCCCACTGAAACTGGAGGGAAAGCATGAGATCCATGGGGGGCAGGGGTATTGTACATGGTCATCAGTGGTGTTGCCCGTCCATGTTGGTATCCTCTGGACCATCCCTCATTCCATCTACAAGGCTCCTTTAGGCCACACGGTTCCCCGTGATGCCAGCCATTCTGCCTCCTCTGTGCCCGTCTGGGGTACATTTCTGAATTTCATCCTCAACGCTCATGGTCACCCCTACTTCATCCCTTAGGTCCTCGGGGCTTGCCTACCCTCACCAGCAGCCCCTGGCTGGTTCCTTGTCTATCTGTGAGCCTGCTTGGTGTGCTGGTCATCGCCACTGCACTTGTGGCTTACTTCAGACCCTGGAGAAAAACTGGTCAGTGAACTTTTTGACTTTCTTAGTGGCCGAATCCTTATGCCAGGCACTGCCCAGCCTTTGGAAAGCCAGCATCTGAGGGGACCAGCTGCTCCTCTTTGGGGAATGGGTGGGAGGAGGGACTTCTCTTTACACGTCACACAAAGGAGCCCATGGAGGGACACTTCCAGCTTCCAAAACACACACACACACAGTCTCACATGCCCATAGTCGCCCAGAGATGCGCAAAAACACACGACCGCACACTTGGGCCTAAACAGAGGCACAAACAGAGGAATTCTTACCGGCCAAACTCAATGCACATCAGAGTCCTTCGTGTTTGAAAGACAATCTGGCTGATGAATATGCCAAGAAAACCCCAAGCCACCAACACTCTGTCACACCAGAGCTCTGCTAAGCAGAGGAGAAAGAAGGAATGGGAACCCCAGTGAGCATCTGCATGCTCATGAGCACACACCCATCCTGTCCAGTGCTGGGCCTGAGGGAGTGCTCAGTGGAGGTTCACTCATCAGAAAGGAAACATGGCGGAGATGACCAAGCAATGGCCTGCTCCCAACACTGTCTCCTAATTCTGTGACCTTGGGCCCGTTCACTCTAGGAGTCATCAAGTATCTCCCACTTGGGGTTATTGTGAGGGTTTCAGCTAAGGAGATGACATCTACCTGATACCTAAGTGTTGGGCTGGCATCTGCTGGGGTCTTGGTACATTCTCCCTCTAATCTATGCGGATTCCAGACCCTGCTCCTCTCCTGTCCGGTCATGACGATGAAGTAGGAATGGGGGCTCTCACTGCAATCACCTTGGTGGCTCCACACTTACTCCTATTCTAACCCTTCTTCACCTCAGGCCACATTTAAGGGAAGGGCTTCCCATGCCAAAGCTTTTTGGTACCAGCTTATTCCTAGTCCTTCAAACCCACCTACAGAGACTCAAATCAACCCCACCTCCTCCCCCCACCCCAGGGGGGAGAGGAATAAGAATAAGATATCATTATAAATAAGAGTATCATTCTTTTTTTTTTTTCAGCTTGGTGGTTTCCTCTTTATTGATGTGCCTCCTACCTTCCCCCCACAATTTCAGTCCCTTTCATCTACCCCCAAAAAAGGAGGTAGTGAAAGGAAGGGAATTTTGGGGTTCTGAGCCCCTTGGGCAGTTAGAAAGGGAACAGAAACCAAAACAATCGCTGGATGTGACAGATTGACAATCGAGAAGTCTAAAGCAGAGTGGGAAAGGTGGTAAGAGCAAGGGGTGAAAGGAGAGGTCCAAGAGGTCACCTCCCCCATGAGCCCTCCTGCTAAGAAGAGTATCATTCTTATTTTCCACTTGCCAAGGGAAAAAGTGATTGCTCTCACAGACCACCAAAGCTAGGTTTTCTAATTCAAGTTGGCAGCTCCCTCTGCTAAAGAATTTGTGGTGAGTTTTTCGGGAGCTGGGCCAGACTACTCTGTGAGAAAGCCCACCCAGTCACGCAATCAGAGTGTTCCTCCCTGAGCGCCTGCCAGGATACCTGAAAGGGCCTCTCCCCAGCCTTGGACCCACTCCCCTGCCTTACCAGCACCCCAGTTAGGGCTTGGGCCAGCCTCCAACTTCCTCTCCCTTTTTAGCAGTCTTTGTCCAACAAACATTCCCTCTAGTCTCGAGTCGAGGTTCTGTGCAGGCTACCTTGCTTTAAGTAACCTGTATGGTAGGAGAAAGATGGAGGCCGGTCCAGAGCTAGATGGGGAGGCAGCTGGAGTAGCAGACCAGCAACTGAAGATGTGTGACTTCTAGCATCCCTGCATCTACAATAAAGCCTCCTTCTAGTGACCCAGCCATTTACCTGGCCTCAGTAACATAGGCCCCTCACTTCTGGGTCAGAGCATTAAAGACAAAGCAACACAGCACAGCTGTCTCCCTCTCAGCCCCAGACAAGATGGCGGGGGAGCAGTAACTGGTGAAGGATCCTCAAGAGGAAGAAGCCTCTCATAGGGAACGAAAGAACACCTCTCTTCATGTGGAGGCCCTGCTGCTGAGCAGCCCACATGCCCCCCACCCAACCCCCACTGCCAACCTGGGAACAGCTGGGCTCCATTGTATTAAGGAACCTGTCGCTCAGGAAAATAGGGCTCCTGGTGGCGGTCTTGGTCCTCTTATCTCAGAAACTCAGAGGTGCAAAACCTTGAGAATGTCACACAGGCCTAATTCCAAAACTTCACAAGAAAAACAGTAGATCAACAGCTTCTTTACTCACACCCAGCTCTGGAAGACTCTTAACCATCTCCAGATAGCATGTCCACTCCCTCAACAAACAAAAAACGTGCTACCACCAAAGATATTTGACAGCTGTATCTCTGAAGGCAATTTGCAAAACATTTTGGCCAACAATGGTGTCACTAGCACGATATTAGTCACGCAAGGGGCCCACTCCCAAAGTAGCACTTGCCTAGGTGTGCCCACTGTGGTTTGTTTAACAGTGTTCACACCCCGCATAAAACAGAGGTCCATCAAATTCCCGGAGCTCTTCAGTGAATGGAGACTCAAAAACACAGCCCTGACGAATGAGCACCAGGGGATATTTAATAACTGGGAGTTTCTTGGAGTCTCCGTAAATGCATTCTTGGTTTTATAGGAAGCACCATTTCCACCAATCCTGCCAGTGATTCTGGTGCCTTCTTGCTATCAGAGATAATAAACATTTCTTGGGCACCAGGCATGAACCAAGTGTTCTAAAATCCATGTGACCCAATCCCTATCTAGGAGATAAGTTTTAAAGTTCTGGGAGCACCTGCTTTCACAGAGGCAGCATGCTAGTGGAGAAAAAGCACATAAACCTAGATTAAGAGTCTGTCCCTACCACTTACCTTGTGTGACCTTGGAGAAGTCCCCTCTCCCAGCCTCAGATACCTCATCTACATATGATATTATGGCATCATAGTATCAACCTTTGTAAGATGGTCACAAAGAATATCAGGCACCAAAGAGTTAGGAAGAGAGGGTTTTTTTGCCATCCAGCTATGTGCTGGTCACTGGGTTAGGCACTGTGCTGTGAAGTAGACATTGTATTTGAATTCCCTGGCCCAGTGTCTGGCACATAGTGTGTGGTCAAAGTTACTAGCTTTTCCTTTTTCTGAAATGCAGCCTGACTGGTGAGTCTGGGCCCTCTCCATGCAGGAGTGTGACCCTTCCTTTCTGGCCCAGCTTCTCCTAGTTTGTGATTCCCATGGGGCCATTCTACCCTCTAGGGTATTTTTCAAAGGAAACATCCTGTAAAAATTAACCGTGTCCAGACTTGTGAATTAGCCCTCATAAACAAACCAGCCTCAGACCTCCAGCAGCCTCCACTGACTTTCTTTCTCTCAGACTCTCTACCCCCACTGCCCAGCCTGCTCTCTGAAGGATGCCTTTGTATCTCCTAGGGCCCATTCCAACCCAGAATCTGCCCCCAGCCCCAGGTGGAGAGCAGCACCTACTGTATGGCAATGGTAAGGACTTGCAGTGGGACCATGCGTGGCCTGTCGCTGAAGACCGAGAAAGGAGTCTGAGGGGGAACGAAGAGAAGGAAGCCCTGTGATCCCCAAGTCTCGGGAACCAGTCATCGGGGAAGGAAGTAGATGGCTTCTGGGGAGAGTGTGAGGGGCCAGTATTCTGAAGCTGGTGGAGGGACAGGGAAGTAGGAGGGAAGGCCGGCCTCCAGAGGGAGGGTAAGGAGGGTTTAGACCAATGGTTGGCAAACTCTGGCCCATGGGCCAAATCTAGTCCACCAAGTACTTTTGTAAAGAACAATATATATGTATTGTGTATGGCTGTTTTCACACTACAGAGCTGAGACCGTATGGCCAGCAAAGCCTAAAATATTGACTCTTTTTTATAGAAGAAGTTTGCCAACCCCTAGTTTAAACAAAGTCAAGGCTGGTAAAGCTGCTAGAATCTGCTATGGGGGCAGGCAGCTTCCACCAAGATGGATATCCCACAGTAATGACTGCCTCCCACTCCCAGTTACCACCATGACAGAGCCCCTGACTGGCTTCCCTCCAGAGGTGTCTTCAGGACACTGATGTCTTGAGGTGGGAGAGCCAGGTGGGTCCTATTCAAGCCTCATTCCTTTTTTCAGTCACTTGGCCGAATGAGAATGAGGAAGATGATATTTACTCTTCAGTGATTATAATCCCAAAGAAGAGTGAAGGTGAGTGATCTCGAATCAAACTTGACATGTTTGCTAATGTAAAACGGAAGTTTTGGGCCTGGCTTGAGGTAGTTGACTACCGTTAACATTACCATTTACCATAACAACAACTATCATTATCATCTCTACGACCACCACCACCTCTACCACCACCACCACCACCAATAACAACAACAACACCAATACCACCAATACCAACACCACCAACACCAACACCACCAACACCAACACCAACAACACCAATACCACCAATACCAACACCACCAACACCAACACCACCAACACCAACACCAACACCACCAACACCACCAACAACACCAACAACACCAACACCATCAACACCACCATCAACAACACCAACACCACTACCAACAACAACACCAACACCACCAATACCACCAATACCAACACCACCAACACCAACACCATCAACACCAACAACAACAACACCAACAACAACAACAACACCAATACCACCAATACCAACACCACCAACAATACCAACACCATCAACACCAACACCAACACCAACACCAACAACACCAACACCACCAACACCACCAACACCACCAACACCAACACCAACACCACCACCAACAACAACAACAACAACAATACCACCAATACCAACACCAATACCACCAACACCAACACCACCAACAACACCACCAACAACACCACCACCACCACCACAAACAACAACGATACCACCAATACCAACACCAACACCACCAACACCAACACCATCAACACCACCACAAACAACAACGATACCACCAATACCAACACCAACACCACCAACACCAACACCATCAACACCAACACCATCAACACCACCAACAACACCATCAACACCAACACCACCAACAACAACACCAACACCAACACCATCAACACCACCAACAACAACACCAACAACACCATCAACACCAACACCATCAACACCAACACCACCAACACCACCAATATCAACACCACCAACACCACTATCTGCACCATAATGACTACCTTCAATATCATCTCCGCCACACCACCACCACTGCCACCCTACTTAGAATGTTTTTTTGCCTTTTCTGAGCACCGTGGAGGAACAAAGAAAAGAGAGAAAGGAATGATGCAGTTTGTCTTGCCCCACAGTATAAGTCTCAGCAGGACAGTCCCAGCTCTGAGAGCAGCCAAGAAGACCATGAGCTCCAACCACAGATACCAGAATCAGATGACAGGGACGGGGAAAGGCTAGTCCTCTCTCCCATGGAGAGGGGCCAACCTGGCATCGTGGGAAGAGTATGAGTTTCTAAGTCAGTCAGACCTGAGTTGAAAACCTGACTCTATATACTCACTGTGCAACTGGGCAAGTTATTTAAGCTCTCTGAGCCTAATCTATGAAGTAGAGATAATGCCTACTTTGCAAGACTATCATGTTACTAGGGATAGAACATAGGTTCTAGATACCTTAAAGATTGTCTGGTGTGTCACAGGTGTTCAAAAATGAAGCTTTTTGTTTTTGTTTTTGTTTTTGTTTTGCTGAGATTTCTATTCCTGGTCTTTAAAATGGGTTTGAATCAGCCTGGGGTTTCTGCTCCCTGCCATGAAGGGCAGTAGGGGAAGTGGACAAACAGGGAGTCTCCTGGGCTCAGGGCCACGTTCCCCAGGACCCAAGCATTGGTGGGCAGGTAGGAAAACACATCCAGGCACGGTTCCTTCCAGAGGAAAGTTACGATTAGAACTTAAACACCAGAAAGAAAAAAAGAAGCCAACTCTAAATATGTGGTTTTCATGGACAAAATAAGGAAATGTGGCTGTTTTAATCCTAGCACGGCAACAAGGCAAAGGCATGATTCGGGGCAGGGCGGCCTGCTCCCAGCTCCTGCTTGCAAGATGCAGGCTTTCGCTTAGGGGAGGGCAAGGGGGTCTGAAACCCAAAGGCAGGAGAGGCCATTGTATTCCAAGATGCACAGGAAGGGGATGCTGGATCTGCTATCCTTGGGAGAATGCTTCACGTTTGCAAAGATTTGATAGTCGCCTACAGTTCCCCTTCTTATGGATATGACCCTCGGGAGTATTAGCCACTCTGAGCCTCCGTTTTCTCATCCCAATTTGAGATGGAATTAGTCGTCCCTACTTGGCAGGATTGGTGTGAGATTAATATAATAAATACAATCCTCGCACCTGAAGGACTGCCTGGTGCATGGTCGCTGTCTGATGTCTTGGACACGTTCATTTCTCTTGCTTCTCACCATCATCCCTGTGAGGCAGTCACCGTTACCACCGCCTTCTTTCTCCCTGGCTGGGGAAGCTGAGGTCCCAGGGCCAAAAGGCTGGCCTGCAGTCACACAGCTGGGCTGTGGTCGAGCTGCGCAGACCCAGGCCTCCTGGTTCCTGGGCCCACCTGTGTTCAGATGGCAGGTGAGGGTCCTGAGAAGTGAAGCGGGGGAAGCCCCCCCTGGGCTTGGGGAGGGGGGACAGCAGGTGCACAGGTGAGCCAGACACCCTAACCCGGGTGTTTCTCTTTCCCCCGCAGCCGGGCCTGCTGAGTCAGCCTCGGGGACCTGGGTGAGTTGGACCCCTGCTCTTCCCTCCCCCTCTGTGTTACATCTGCCTCCTCATCCTGACCTGACTCTCCCACAGGACACTTCTGTCATCTACACCGAGGTGAAACACTCGAAGCTTGGTGAGGTTCCAGCCAGGGGACCGAATACAAGAAGCAGGACCCACAGAGTTCCCCTTGGTAACTTCGAGGAGGTCCTCTACTACTGATGGCATCCCCCCAACACCACCCACCTGAGGCCTCCAGTGCTCCCCAGGAGGCCAGCAGAGACCCCAGTCCCTTCTGCAGGTCCCCAATCCCTGAGCCCAGCAGTGAGGGAGCCCGGCGTCCCGGCCAGGGTTCCGAGGAGACTCGAGGAACACCTAAATGATCTCTGGGCTGCCCTCTGAGTGGAAGAACAGGAACATGTGGGCAGGGGCATCCCCGTTCACACATGAGTTCCAAGCAGTGGACCAGACACGGAAGCCACAGATGTTTTCTTGCACATGAGTGGAAGGGTTGGAGTGCCTTCTCTCCAACATTTGTAAGGACTTTCTAAGGTGGCCTCAGTCCCCGTGCATGGGCTTGGCCTCTCCCTGAAGGAGAGAGCTAGCCCCCGGGCGGCTCTGGTAGAGCATTTCCAGCTTCCAAGCTGCAGCTGAGGCCCCTGAGTGACCACAGGGCTAAGGACCTCTCAGTGGCTCGGGGAGGCCAAGAGTTGGGGGGAAAGGCCTGGCCCAGATAATAGCACAGAATTCTTAACCCCAGAGCCAGAGCCCCCGTCCCAGGCACTGAGAGCCCAGCCTTCTCTGCAACACATTTCTGCTCAGACCTCTTCCGGCGACCAGGTTACCAAAGTTGCTGGAACTGAGGCTTGCCCAAAACCCCCATTTGTAGAGTATATCAGAACACTCACTTACCCCTCATGTGTTTACCAAGATACACACTTGTAGAATCTATTTGTTCATAGAAGCGTATCAGTTTGTTTCATACTATTCACCAATGCCGATCACTCATAGTGCCTGATGGTTGGTTTGGTCCTTGATGCTGAGGGTTTAGTCCTGGTAACTAGGAGGATTAGTTCTCCCTGCTCCTCCTCCCAGCCCTGGTTCCCTGCAGGCCCCTGCTCCTGAATCACCGAGTGAGGTCCCAGTCACGCTGCTGGATGTCACCGACCCCACCCACCTGTCCTGGGAAGAGGCCCACGTCCTCCCGCCCACCCAGAGCTCCCACCCAGGTGCCCCTGAGCTGCCCACAGCCAGCATTCATCCTTGAGCTTAATAGAAATGCATCCACTCAGACTCAGACCCAGACCTGCTGAATCCTGATCTGCATTTAAGTAAGATCTGTAAGCTGTTGGTATGCACATTAAAGTTTAGAAAGCCTGGTCTGCCTCCAAAAAACACTTCATGGGAGTGCCTCCATCCACTCGCCTTTGGGAACATCACTGGATAGGACAGAGGGCCCAGAGAACTGCTAAGACAACCCTCGCTAGCATTTCTCGGCTTCCCCGGGCCTTCTCTTCCTTCCCATTTCCCCACCTGAACTTCCTCTTCCTTAGCCTCCTCAGCTTCCTCCCCATCTCTCTCATCACTGGTCCAGTCCATGTCCAGAAGACATCAGGGCCCCTCCCCTTCACTTCTTCATCTGCCAGGCTGGGAAGCACATGCCAGGTCATCTAGAAGCCCAGGGTCCTCGCTGGTCAATCAGGAAGCACCTACAGAAGCCAAGCCTTGCCACGCCCTCTATAAACAGTCTGACCCCTTGTAAAGAGTCAAGTCAAAGACAGGACAGCTCATGAAGGAGACACTGATGATGGAGAGCGGGAAGGAGACTGCCCTGCCAGTCACCCCCGTGGACCAGCTCCTCCCTGAGCATTCACACCACCTGCCCCCTGCCCCACACCAGTGACACTGGAGCCTGTCTGTGGATGGTGTTTACCAGTGCAGGGCGGGATAAGTGGAACAGTGAAAAGCAAGAACTTAGAAACTTTTTTTTTTTTTAAGATTTTATTTATTGGGCGCCTGGGTGGCTCAGTTGGTTAAGCAACTGCCTTCGGCTCAGGTCATGATCCTGGCCCGGGATCGAGTCCCGCATCGGGCGCCCTGCTCGGCGGGGAGTCTGCTTCTCCCTCTGACCCCCCCCATGTGCTCTCTCATTCTCTCTCTCTCTCAAAATAAATAAATAAAATCTTTTTTTTAAGATTTATTTATTTATTTATTTATTTGAAAGAGAGAGAATGAGAGAGAGAGCACATGAGGGGGGGTCAGAGGGAGAAGCAGACTCCCCGCCGAGCAGGGAGCCCGATGCGGGACTCGATCCCGGGACTCCAGGATCATGACCTGAGCCGAAGGCAGTCGCTTAACCAACTCAGCCACCCAGGCGCCCGAACTTAGAAACTTTTATAGCAATCTGACAGAGTAATACAATCATAAAAAAATAGGGCTTATATTTTGGATGTCTTTTATTTCTTTTTTTAGTAAATTGCTTTTATCGTATTCTACAGAAGTATAGGTCCACAATGGATTCAGAATAAAGAGAAACATCTCCTTTGACACAGGTGAGAAGCCCTATCCTACACACTTACACACTCACACTCGCACACACACATGCACGCACGTGCGCACACACGCACACCTGTGGCTCGTCTCTCCTGCACTTTGCTCCTTCCCCAGAATCCCTCCCCACCCCCACTTCTATTTGCACAACCGAAAATATCCCTCCCCCTTAGTTTAGAAAAGAATGAGCTGGGATTTTTAAAAATGAACAATTACTAAGAAAATTGAAGAAAAAGAAAATCCCCGAAAAGCACACAGAGAAAGCAGAGGCTTCAGAGGAGACCCCAGACTCTCCCTGGCTGGCCTGACAGCAGCACAGGTGGCCCGCAGCCTCCCTGCCAGTGCTCAGAGCAGGAACCTGCTGCTGGTCCTGGAGGACGCTGGTGGCGAGGAGAATGGGACTCTCCCTGGTCTCCAGGGACAGACCCTGCAGGCACCAAGGAAGGCTGCAGAACGGACCGCAAGGCTCTGCACTGTTAGTTTTCTCTCCAAGTCAGAGCTAAATGCAGACACTCCTCCAGCAGCGATGAGTTGTCTGCCTGCTCTAGGGATGTAGGGACTGGGGCTCTGTGGGGTCAAAACACCTCCTGGGTAAGCAGGGAGGAAAGGGCTCCGTGCACAGTTCAGAGCTGAGGCCGTGTCGTGCGGCTGTCCCTCCGGGGAGAGGGAGCGGGAACGGGGCCTCGCGGCCGCCCTCTACTGACCTCCTTGGGTCTGACCACCCGTAGGACAGCCGCATCCGGAGGTGCCACTGGACGCCCATCCTTGCTTTATATGTGGCTCAACATTTTAGAGACAAACACTAAAAATGGAGCGTGACCCTTCCCTCAGCCAGGCAGCTTGCAGATACTGGGATTGCTTTCAATTCCAGGTTTATTTTAGATTTGGCTAGAAAATAAGGTCTTCGACATTTTTACCTAAACCAGCATCCGCTAAGTAGCTCTGCGTCCTTCGTCTTTGTACGGACTGCGATGACAGGAACGACAGATGGGGCGCACAGGACAGGGAAGACCCAGGCCTTTTCACCCAATACCGGGATGCTTCGTGCCCCAAACACAGGTTCCCATCCGGAGCCGCACTGCTGAAAGGAGCTGCGGCCGGCAGGGCCTAGGGCAGTCAGCGCGCCTGCGTCTTCGGCGCGCGTCCCTCTGCACCGTCTTCAGAGGGGTCCGTCTGTCAAGCCCTTTGAAAGATCAGCCTAGGTCGTCCTACTTGTCTGGGAATTCTTTCTGCCTGGGGTACAGATCGGCGTCATGGGCACCAGCACGAGCCCTGCTCTCGCGGGCTTCCCATGCTGAGTGCTCTCTACACCTGCTCACCGCGGGAAGGTGCACAGGATGGGGATCCAGCAAATGCTCGCTGAGTGAGTGAGTGAGTGAGGTTCCAGTTCCTCCCTGGCTACCTCCGCATGGTCATGGCTTTGTCTCTTTTTTACGCAGCCTGCCTTCAGCTCCCTGGGAAAGTATGTCTTTGCCTCAAAAGCAGACCCTAAAAAGAAGAAGGCTCCAACCGTCCCACCCAGTTTCTACAGGGCTGTTTCTTCTCTCCTGCTTCCCCTGTCCTGCTGCGTGCACCTTGCTCTCGAGCATCAAAGATCAAAGATTCCGCTCTTGTCTCCACATCCCCAGCAAAGCCAGAACAAGGGTGGGGCATGGCAGGTGCTGTAGGCACAAATATTAAAGAGGCCCTCATGCTCAGGGCCGTGGGTGCAGGCATGAGAGTGTCATCTCAGGGGAGGTCAGGTACCCCATTTTCACACACGCAGGCACTGCCTCTGCTGCCCAAGCTGGCTGACAGCGGGAGGGAGTGGGTTGTGCTTGGACTGCCCCACCCAGGGCAGCCTCTGGGGCCAGCCGGTGCCTGGTGGCCTGGTGTCATCGGACAGATCGTGCAGGTAGGTGGTCCACTCTACGCGAACTGAGGAGGTGGAGGTAGACATAAAGATGGGCTGTCCCTGGCCTCTCAGCCCACATGCCCCACCACCCTTCAGAGGTGCCCCTTCCCTCCCAGAAAGCCCGCTGAACGCCCTTCCTTCCTGTCTGGAGCTCCACCTGCTTTCCTTCTCTCCCCCAAACACCTTCCGACTTTTTTCTCTCCTCCATCTCTCCTCTCTTCTGGTGTGGCCCTATTCCGTCCCCAGGCCAGTCCAAGAATTGAGGGCAAGTGTGAGTGGGCAGGACACCCAGATTCCACTGGCCCCGAATAGAACTGGGGTAGCCTGTGTGGCCACCGGGGACACCTGCCCCCGCACCCCTGCCCGCAGCGGAGGTGGGCTAGGGGAGAGGGGGAGAGGTGCAGATGGAGCTACAGCCCCAAGCCACAGCCACTCCCTGGCTCCCAGGAGGGCCCAGCGGCCCCTCTGCTCTCTTAATTAAGGAATGTGGGAGTGGTGCCTTTGAACTCCCAGCCCAGTGACTCCAGCACACTGTCCTTTGGCGGGCTAATTATCCTGCTCTGAACCAGTGATCAGCAGAGGGGGAGAGCCTGCCTCCGCAGACTTAACCCATCCAGAGCTGCCCCCGTTTGTCTGTCTCCGGTGGCTACACAGCCTGGAGTTCTTCCCTCTGGGGAGGTGGGACGTCTGCTGACCCTCACCAACCTCCTCCTCCCCCTTCCTCGGCTTCCCTGAAATTCCCCTCTAGCAAAAGGGCATGGGGGGCGAGGTGGGGAGGCTGGGAAGACGGCAACTCGGTTCCTGCTTGGATGGACCCCCACGTAGATCCAATCTGCTGAGAGGGAGTGTGACTGCCCACAGTCTGCTCTGCGGGAATTCCGAGTCTCTATCCCCCACGTTCCCACAAGGGCCCAGCTCCTGCATCCCACACCCTCCCGGTCCCACACCGTCCACCTCTAGGTGGACTTGGAGGGCTCCCCAACTTGGGAAGCCTGTCCTTGGCTATAGGCAGGGTGCAGACATGTAGGGGCCAGTCTGGGACAGATGGAGGGGACTGCTCACACCTGACCCCCCTTGCTCTGCGTTGACCTGTTCTCCTCTCTTCCTTCTCTGGCCACTTAGTAGCAACAGTTAAGATTTTTTTGGAATGCTGACTATGTGCCAGACCCCATCCTAAATAAGCCCCTACACGCACCACTCTTGCCTCCCCGACTGTAATTATCGGGTTACACATCCCGTCTCCTCACCCAAACTGCAGCCTCCTTGAGGGCAGGGCCAAGCCTTTCATCTCTGTGTTCCCAGCCCCTGGCATGTAAGTAGATGCTCAATAAACACCTGATGCAAGAAGGACAGAATTCACAGCGGAGTCATAAATGAGTCCCCTCCCTTGGCATCTCTGCCGTGAGGCCAGGTGGCTCCCAAGTTCTGTCCCCTGACTCTGCCCTGTCCCTTCCTCTCTACTCTGGAATTTCCTTCCTATTCCAGTCAGGACCTTCCCAACAGCTGCTACCCAGGCTTTCTTGCCTCTTCTTACTCTGCCAACCTGCCCCGCACGCTGTCCTTCCACGAGCCAGCTACCCTGGGCTCAGGACGGGCCACAACCCCTCCCTCCAAGCAGACCTTCTCAGGGCCTTCCCTTGGCCCACCAGCTGCAGATTACCTGGAGCAGAGTGCTGGTCAAACTAGATTCCCGGGTCCCGTCCCAGCCCCACTGAACCAGAGTCTCCAAGGATTTGAGTCCAACAAGGCCAAGAACTGCTGCCCCCAGAACAAAAGCTTAATCCCTAAGCCAGTGTTCAAGGCCTCTGTGATCTGACCCTCAACCTCCCTTTCCATTCCTACCTGCTGCAGCCCTAACAGGCTCCTCCCCTTGCTCCTTCATCATCCCGGGAGCTCACCTGGGACCCCTCCACCCCATCTGGCTGTACCCATTTGGCTCTACTTCATGCTCAGAGCCTGCCCCCAGCCTCCGGCTCTCCCCTTTTCTCTGCCTATCCAAATCATGCCTACCATCAAGGCACAGCTCAAAGCCCACTTTTAGGGAAGGGTCCCCCGCCCACATCCACCGATGTGGATCCCCGCACCCTCTGCAGCGAGAAGGCCCCACTGCCCATTGCACAGAGCCCTGCCTGTCTGTAGTGGACCTTCGTTCTGGGCATTTCCTGTTTCTACATTTCAGCTGCAAGCCACTGGAGGGCAGGAACCCGGTCCCAGAACCCTCCTACTCTCCTGCCGCCGTGCCTGCCTCGCTCTTGGCCGGGTCCCAAGGTGAGGTCAGGAGTTCTGCGGGACGAGACACCACGAGCCCAGCATGGCTCTCAGGGGTTCCCTTCATCTTCCCGCAGGGCCTCCCCTGACTCAAGAACCCGTGTAACTGGAAGTGAGAAGAGACTCAGGATGAGGAGGGGCAGCACTGGCAAAGTGGCCCAGGCTCCCCAGGGCGAGGCTCCAGTCTCAGCTCTCGCTTGTGACCTCTGCAAGGTGCTAGCCTTGCTCTGGGTTTGAATCAATAAGACCCTCGCAGAGAATCGCTGTGAGCATGTCTAGAATTCATGCACTCATTTACAAATGTTTAGGAAACACCCACAGTGTGCCGAGCACCAAGGGGAGCACAGAAACGAGTAGGGGAAGACCTTGTGGGCAATCAGTCCGTGGAGACGAGAAAACCGTGGCAAGACAGTGTGCTGAGGGCAGAGAGCCCGCCGGCACTGGGCTCGGACGGCTTGAGGGGGAGCCGGCCGGCTGCAGCGCGCCCAGTCCGGAGGGCCGAATGGAGCAGCGTGCCTGCCGCACAGTGCGTGGGTGTGCAGTGGGTGCTCCCCGGAGGGGCAGTCCTGCTTGGCATGGCCAGAAAATGGACCGGGGAGGCCAGCTCGGACCAGCAGACTGGAGTCGAACTGAGGAGAGCCTTGTACACCAAGCCGAGAGTTTAGTCTCTTTTTCGAGGGCAGCAGGAGGTGCCAAAGAATTTTAGAGAAGTAACAAAGGGAATTGCAGTCTAGAGGGTTCTCTGTGGCTACAGCAGGAAGGGCAGCCGGCCGTGGGGCGGTGGGATGCAGGGAAGGCTGGCCAGTCCAACCGGAGGCTGTGGGCTTGTGCCGGGGCACCTGCCTCTGGCGGATGGCATTGGCCCGCCACAGGCACATGAAAGAGGCTGACTTACAAGAATCCGCTCCTGACAAAGCCCAGCCAGGCTGGGAGCCAACTTCCACTTTACTCTGAATATTTTCACTTTCGGGGCATCTTGTTCTGAGTCAAGATTCCTCCTTCTGAACACGGGACTTTCCAGAAGGACCGCAGGCTCCTCCCGTGTATCCACTTGCCCCCAGATGTTCTGGATTTGGGCTGTTGAAGGAGTCTGCTGGCCTCTCTGGAGAAGGACGGGCATGTGGTCCCTGTGGAGCCTGCTTCTCTGGGAAGGTAAGGGGGGCCAGTGTGTGGCCCGTCCTCAGAGAGCTGGAGGCCCCTCCGTAGGGCCCCTCGCTCGTCAGCCACCTGGGCAGGGGCCCGCATCCCAAGGGAGAACCCAGGGGCTGAGGAGGGACAGGGAAGACTGAAGCAAGTTCTCGGGCAACCTTGAAAGCTGGACAGAGCCAAGATTTGCGGGGTCCTTGGGAGGAAGGAGGTGGCAGCCGTAGCAGCATCCTTGTCCATGACACACGAGCTGTTCCATGGCCCCGGGCAGTTACAGACTAAGGCTGGTGGTACCAGTGGTTGGGAAAAACAGGGTTGTGAGAAGGGTGAGGGAATTCTAGTACAATCTGGGGAGAAGGAGGGCAGGGCGAGAAGGCTCGTACAAGGAAGGAGGCCTTTCCATCAACCTGGGGGAAGCCAAGGCTGCTCCCTGCAGGTCTGTGTAAGGGAGGGGGATGTTGGGAAGGGTGGAGAGGGGGGAGCAAGCCAAACAGAGCACATGGACTTGGCATGTGGGAAGGGTGTGCTGTGGGAAGGGCGACACTTCCCTCCGTGGTGAGCAGGCCGCCCACATGCCAGGGGTCAGCGGTGCAAGGCCAGGGGCAGGAGTCGGGGCCTGGCAAAGACGAAGCCACCTAGGTTCCCACCAGGAACTCAGAGGGACTTGGAGATGACTTTATCCTGGGCTCCTGGCCTCGAGGGCTCCAAAGGCCTTGAGGATTCTAACCTGTCTAAACACGGGCAGGAAATCCCTCCCAAAGGAAAAGGAATCTGTGTGGTACACAAATCTTTCAAGACCCTGGACGTGGAAGGCAAAAAGGAATTTTTCTGAAGGCCCCTTAATGGTAAACCAGATGAGTACCACCGATTGGGTGCACCCTCTTGTTTTGGGGGTGAGACCACGGAAGGGACCAGGGTGCTGTGCTGAAGTCACAGCATGGGTTTGCGGCCGAGTTGGGGCAGGAGAGACTAGAGGGACCTTGACCTGCATCCAGCACCATCCTCTGTGTAGGCTGGGCCTCCACCTGCAGTAGCCTCTGCAGCAAGCCCTGATGATTAGGGCTGCAGAGGGCAGTGAGGTGGGCAGGGGGCTGGCTGAGTGACTCCCCAGAACAGGGCTTGTCAAGCCCACTCCCGGCGCTCGGGCATGTCCCACACGAGCTATGCTGCTCTGTGTCCCTGAGCCCCACAGTGCCAGGTGCCAGGGGAGTCCTCAGGGCCTCCTTTCACCCAGTACAATGCGCTGAGCCTCTCCTCCATGCTCCTCCTAAACATAGCGTGGGCGTGGGGGTACGAAGAACACAAGAGGAACTCGTAGTCTCGCGTGGCAGCCCCTGACTCATCCCCGGGCCATCCTGGCAGAGGAACAAAGCATCCCAGGCTGCTGGGCCACACGGAGAAACAGTGTGGACACCGCCCGCCCCCTCCAACAAATGGGGAGGTCAGGGGAGGCAGTGGGTCTCCAAGGATGAGCAGCAATTAGCCAGCGAAGGCGTCAGGGCTCCCTCCCGCTGAGGTCCCGCCCACAGCCCTCAAACTGAGCATCTCCCCACCTCCCAGCCTGCTTCTCCTCCAGCTCCTCGGGATCACGGGGAACGGCGCTCTGCGGGTTCCTGGTACCCTCGACGCCCTTCGCCTTCGCTCCCCAGACTGCACCTAGGACCCGACCCCACTGATGACACACCGGAGTCTCAACTCCTCCCTCTTCCTCCCCTCACTCTGCAGGCCGAGAAGCAGCCACAGCCCGGGCCCTGCGCGCTCCAGCGCACCCCCACACCCCTGCCGGCGGGTCTTTCTAACCAGCACCTCGTCCGCGCCCCAGCGCACCCCCACACCCCTGCCGGCGCGTCTTTCTAACCAGCACCTCGTCCTCTCCCTCTTACTGAACCCTGTGCGCGGCCTCCCAGAGCTCTAAGGGTAAAGCCCACGCGTGCTCTCGGGCGGCAGGACCGGGCTCCCACCAGCTCCGCAGTACAGACTCTTACTCCCCTGCAGAGAGCAGCTTTCAGTTCTGAGAACTACGAGAACCGCGCGCCGCCCGCCGCCCGCCAGGCCTTCGAACGCCAACCGCCGCATTCCCTCGCCTGGGCCACCCCTCCAGCCCTGCTCCACACAGCCCCCCTCCCCCACCGGCCTGGCCGACCCCCACTCCTCCTGCTCTCAGCTTAACCATTTCTTCCCGGAGCCTCCCAAGGCCATCACCCTACCTGTGTTCTCCCAGGGCATCTTTTTGCCCATCGTGGCACTTCACTTAATATGCTTTCATCACTTGCTTAGAGTTGGACTTCCTCTGGGAGCTCCGCAAGCACAGAGACAGGTTTCTCTCCCTTAGGCTTTTATTCCCAGCCCCCACCGGCACAGTGCACCTTGCTCAGTGTGGGTGGAGGGAGTGTGGGGAGAGGGGCCCCAGCGCGTTGCAGCAGCTTAGCTGGGTCCGTCAGCGGTGGCGGGAGACGGGTGAGGAGCTTGGGGCCGGCAGTGATGGGGCTCTTCTTGCAGCACTGCTTCCCACCAGAGCCTCCAGCGCCCAAGTGCACGGCCAGGTTGGGGGCTCTGTGCTGCTGGTGGCAGAGCGCCCTGCCAGCTTCCAGGTCCGAGAGGCCATCTGGAGATCTCTCTGGCCTTCGGAGGAGCTCCTGGCCACATTTTTCCGGGGCTCCCCAGAGACTCTGTACCGCTCCCGCTTCCTGGGCCGAGCCCAGCTCCACAGCAACCTCAGCCTGGAGCTCCAGCCTCTGGAGTCTGGAGACAGCGGCAACTTCTCTGTGCTGTTGGTGGACACAAGCGGTCGGGCCCAGACCCAGCTCCTGCAGCTCAAGGTGTACGGTGAGTGCGCCCCACACCAGCTCTCCGGCTGCCCACAAAGCACTGGAAAGGGGTCCTGTGTCCCAGGAGCTGGGGAGGACAGGGTTCCAGAGACCTCTGGCCTCTGACCTCGCAGCTGATTCGGGACACATCTGAGAAAGCTCCCCAGGTGCTCCCAGGCAGGCGTGCTCCTGTGTGAGGCAGCCCGGCTTTGCCGCCCCACAGTCCTTGCCTGAACTCCAGCAGGGTCTTTTCTGGGCTCAATGGCCTTGGACACAATGCAAAGGCTCCCTAGCACTCACCTTTCTCATTTATAAAATGGGCATCGTCAGTAATATTACACATAGTTGCCCACAAATGCAAGATACACTGCGTTTGGGAAAGCATCAGAGACAGTGGTCTGGCCTACACTCCAAAATTCTAAGATTATAAGATGTGCCATTATTTGACAAAACATTAACAAGGAAAAAAAATTGCCAAACTACGACACAATTTTTTTATTAAAACTTGAAGTATAATTGAAGCATGGAATGTTGATTTCATATTGCTTTAAAGAGTTCTTTTAGAAGTATTTAAAGATTTTTAACTATATGACATTCATGGGTTCTCTCAATTATTCATTGTTGCAAAACAAACCACCCCGAAACTTACTGCCCGAAAACAGCCATTTTAATTTCTCACCACCTGCGGGGTGGTGGGGCTCAGCTGGGCAGGTCTTCTGCGCCCTGTGGTTTGGCAGGATCATTCACACAGCCCCACTCGGCCCCTCAGCTGGGGCGGCTGGCTTCACTGGGCACTGGAACAGCAACTTCACCTCCACCCCCTCCAGTCACCTCCTCCACCTTCACCTCCACCACCACCTCCACCTCCTCCATCACCTCCACCACCACCATCACCTCCACCATCACCTCCTCCACAATCACCACCTTCACCATCACCTCCACCACCACCTCCACCTCCACCATCACCTTCACCTTCTCCACCATCACCTCCACCTCCTCCACCATCACCTCCTCCACAATCACCACCACCTTCACCTCCTCCACAATCGCTACCACCACCTTCACCTCCACCACCACCACCTCTACCTCCTCCACCATCACCTCCTCAACCATTGCTGCCTCCACAATTATCTCTACCACCATCATCACCTCTATCTCCACCTCTACTGCCTCCCCCTCCACCATATTTCTGCTGATCTAGAAAAAAAAAAATAGCCTTTTAGCTCTCATTCATCTGCCTAATGTCTTGGAAAAGGCATGTGAGGTACCTCAAATCACTATTTCAGTAAAACCTCAGAAATTTGATAAGGGCAGTGGGGAGAAAAAGGTCCAATGTTAAGAACAAAAAGTAGGAGTGACAGCTGGGAAGAGGAAGACAGTGAGGGAGAGAACGGCAATAAACTGGGAAGGAGAGGGGACCCCCCCACCACCACCAACCCAGGGACAGCCAGTCTGTGAGCCACTCGGGGTGCCAGTGCACCATTAGACGTGTGTCCTGGATGCACGCAGCCCTGAACCGAGTTGCACAGCTTGGCAGGCAGAGTGCTGGCTGGATTTCAGCAGCCCCACCGTCACTGGTTGTCCTCTTAGCCCAGTGGGATGGGCTTGTGCAGTGAATAACCTACAGAACCATACAGGCAGCCCTGGAGCCTCTTCCTATTCTGAGTCTCAGCTGCTGCACATGTGAAATGAGGACATTGAATGGGATAATACACGCAGCACCCACACCACTAAGCTCTAAAATGCCTTGTTCTCAGCATCTGAATTACAGATTTTAAGGAAATTGCTGTTTTATTGCTTCCAAATACATAGCATGATTAGAACTAATTGCACAACGCTGCCAAGCAGCCGTCCTTGGGAGCTCTGCTTTGACAATAGATAAGAATGATTTGAATTAGCAGATCAGTTACTAGAAATGTCAATGGGTGTTTCTACTGTGCCTGATAGTGTTTGAAAGCAGCTTGTCCTCTTAAGTAGTGTAAATATCCCCCCCACATACACACACGGTAATCTTTGTTTATACTATTAGTGTGCCCAGCAAATCTTTCCTTTTCCATATCACAAATCCCACCAGACTGAGCTGGCATTAATGAGGTTTTACTCTGCTTGACTCTGGAATGCTGTCAGAGACAGAGCCCTCCCGTTGTCACCAGAATGCTCTCCTGCTGGTCCCCATTGCCACAGAGACTCTCGGGATTGACTCATCAACCTATACAAGAAAGGAGAGCCACCGGCTGGGATGCCGGGACTCCACTGTGTTCACTGGTCCAGGTGGCTGAGCACCTAGAGAGCTAGGTTATGAAGATAACAAAACAGAACCTCCATCCCCTGCTCTCCACAGGAGCTTGGACCCTTGTAATTATTTCCTTAATTATTCAGTCACTTGTCAGTACCTGTCTTCACCAAACTATAAGCTCTAATAGTCCAGGAATGTGTTTGTTTTCTTCCCTGATTTAATAGGTGCCTATCACCTGTCTGATATGTCATGAGGAAAGTGCTATGACAAGGACAGACAGAGTTTTGGAGTCTTCAGAGCCTACAGTATCAGGGAAGGCTTCATAATCAGAACAGTAAGCGATGTGCTCAAGCTGGGTCTTGAAGGGTTGGTAGGAGTTCCCCAGGAGGAAGAGAAGAGAAAGGCGTACATGCACAGCTGGGCCATATGAAAGCATGCAGGATGTGGAAAAGCATGACATGCTTGGGAGAACCAGAAATTAATAATGAGGGCAGGTGAGTAAGACTAGCAGGAGGTTACAGCTACAGAGGTTGACATCAACTATTTCATGAAGGATTTTGAATACCAGACTAAGGAATTCAGCTTCTGTCCTGTGGGCAATGGGAAACCAGACTAGATTCTGGAGCAAGAGTGGGCTAGTCAGAGGTGACCTCTAACCCTGCATGGATCCCAGGACTGGCACGGTATGCCCTGCCCAGCATCACTATAACCCAGGCCCGCTCTACTGTTCTTGCCTAGATGCAGTGCCCAGACCCGTGGTACAAGTATTTATTGCTGTATCGGGGGACGCTCTGCTGCCCAAGACCTGCCAGGTGTTCCTGTTCTGTCGGGCCCCCAACATCAGTGACATAACCTATAGCTGGCGACGGGAGGGAACCATTGACTTTGGTATTGAACCAAGAGGCCTCTTCGCGGATGGACAGGTGCTGAGGGTTTCACTGGGACCAGGAGACAAGAGTGTGGCCTATTCCTGCATTGTCTCTAACCCTGTCAGCTGGGACTTGGCCACCGTCACCCCTTGGGAGAGCTGCCATCGCGAGGCAGGTATGCCAAGGGCCAGGGGTCAGTGGTTGAGGGATTGTTAAGCATCAAACCCCCCTCTGACCCCGCCCCCTGCATGTCCAGCCCCAGGAAAGTCCTCCTACAAAGATGTGCTGTTGGTGGTGGTGCCCATCTCCCTGCTCCTGACCCTGGCTGGTCTCCTCTCTGCCTGGCACTCCTACTACTCAGGTAGGAGTCCTGCAGGTGCCAGAGGTGTGTGGAGGAGGGGGATCTACTGGGGAGTAAAGCAGGGCTGGACTTTCTCTGTTTTAGGCTTCGGATGGTCTGCCCTCCTTACCTCTGCCACCTCATCTCCTGACTCATACTCTGGTCTCCAATCAGACCGAACTACGTGAAGCTTCCTTTGCAGTTCTTCAAAAGAACTCTTGTCTTATATAACTCTTCAGGCCTTTGCACGTGCCACTCTCCCTATCTGGACAACACTTTCCTTGGTTTCCCACCCAATCCCCCTTCTTCATGTGACTATCTCCTCCACAATCTCCCAGGTGCACCTGCTCCAGGAAGGCTTGCTGATCTCCTCCCCTGGCCTGGGCAGGGTGGGTGTACTTCCTTTAATCTCCGTTGCTTATCCTAGTCACGGCACTCACTGCACTTACTCTCCCACTGAATTCTCGGCCCCTTAAAGGCAAAGACTGCCTTACCACCGGGCATCTAGCAATGGTTCCTGGAACAGCACTGGTATGGATAAAGGTTTGCTGAGTGGAAGTCTAGATGAATCCCACCCCCTTCTTGCTTTAGCATTCCTAGGAAATGCTCTCTGAGGGAAGCACTTTTCTGGCTAGGGGCTGATAAGGCCTCCTTCTCAAGGAGAAGAGCGCAGGATAAACTCAGAGGTGTGGCTGGATTCTGAGCCATCCCTCTAGCTCAGCCCCTGCCTCGACCCCAGGATGCCCTGCCCCTGACAGAAACACCCCACAGACCTGGGCTTTGCAGGGATATCCACCCCAGGCTGTCTGGGATGGCTTCAGGTCAAGCCAAGGTTGCTAAGATTCCAAACATCAGAGGAGTAACCTTTCTGATCTCTTTGCCAGGGAAAAAGCAGAAGGACGTCTGTATTGACAGAGTGGCTTCAGAGACAGAGAACCCCCTTGTGTAGGGTCTGCCGTGGAGGAGGATTTAAACTGCTGCCTGGACCATCAGGAAGCCCACTGCCCAAGCACATGATGCTCTGGAACATCGTTGGTGTCTGGAAACCACCATGGCCCTTGTACCTCCCATGAGACTCCTGCCCCACCTCCAGGAGCAGCCTAGACAGCTGTTGTGCTGGGAGCCGCCAGACAGAAAACACTAACACAACCTTCTACATCCCCCCCTCCCCTGCTCCTGGCTCTGCTTGGGGCAAGATGACAGACCATCCCCTCAAAGATGCTGGAAGTTCTCCAGGATCCACAGGGACTTTGATGGTCCAGGGCATTCACCACCCCCACCACCCCCACCACTGCTCATGAAGTATTATCGTAGACAGAATTTGTCTCCTCCAAGTCCATTGGTTGAAGTCCTAACCCCCAATATCTCAGAATATGACTGTATTTGGAAAAAGGACTTCAAAGAGAAAATTAAAATTACATGAGGTCATTGGGATGGGCCCTAATTCCATATGACTGGTGTCCTTATAAAAGAGGGAGAGACACCAGGGATTCACCCACAGAGAAAAGGTCATGGAAAGACACAGAGAGAAGGAAGACATCTACAAGCCAAGGAGAGAGGCCTCAGAAGAAACAACATGCTGACACCTTGGTCTTGTGCTTTTAGCATCCAAGACCATGAGAAAATAAATTTCTGTTGTTTAAGCCACTCATTCTGTGATATCTTGTTATGGCAGCCCTAGCAGACCAATGCAAGTATCAACTAACTGGCACCAAAGGATTGCCTCCAGTCTGGGTCCCAGACTCTAAAAGACATTAGACATTTGAACTAACAGAGAAACTCTGAATCACCCACTTCCAGCTCTGGCCCCAGCCCAGCCCCTGTAGTTTGAGACCCTGATGTTTCCTGATGTCCGAGGCATTATCATAAGAAAAGATCTAGAAATAGATGAAGGTGAGAGATAGGGGACAGGGGATTCTCTTTCCAGCATGAAGGACTGTCAGGTCATCTGAGTTCATGGCCCCTCTAAGGTAATTTGCAGGTAGAGAAAATCAAGGGATGGTGCCATTTGGCAGGTAACACCTTATGAATGACATTTTCACCATCTCTGCTGACCACCATGCCTCTTGCAGGATCTGGGGCTAGGGTTTGAGATTCTCTCCGCACTCTTCCAGCACAGTGACCACGGAGAGAGATATTAAATTTACCCCAGCTTGCAGAAAGCTCTTGCACAGCTTCAAGAAAAGTAGCTCAGCCTGAGCGTCTCTGCCTGAGGCCAAGAGGGTGAGGAGCCAGGAAAAGTGAAGCAGAAAGAGATATGGAGGGGAAAGGTGCTGAGGCATCCTAGAATCTGCTACACTCATTCTCAGATGCAAGTGCAGAAGATCCCCTCATGTTCAAGAGGAAGAGACAAAGACTCCACCACTCAGTGTGAAGATGGCCAAGGTCACCATCACAGAAGAGCATGTGGGATGGAAGCTGAGACTGTGGTCATCTTTGGAAAACAGTATCTGCCTCTCAGTGGTTATGTCTGGGAGAACTCTGGGACCTCGCCATTGGAAACTTCTGCTTGGGGGTTTGCAGATGGTGAGTTCCACCATGACTCCCTCCCAGGTGTAACCAGATTCTCTCTGGGACCTCCCTCGGGGCTTGATAATAGAAAGGAAGGAGGTATTGAAGAAACAGGGGAAGGCTATGAAGTATGTTCCCAGGACAGCTTTTATCCCTCCCCCAACGAGGTCAGTCTTGTGCAAGGATCTCCCTTCCTTCCCCCAGGTTCGGGGCAGTCACTTCACCTTCGACAAATGGTCAGCACAATCAGCCTCTAGACTTACATCCCCACTCATCCACTCAACTCGTTCGGGAATTTATTCCTTCTGGCTCTGCTTAGAGGTCCCCAGCTGGTCACGGGGCTTCGTCTTGTCCTCTTGGCTTTCCTGCGCCCACTTTTTGCTGTCACCTTCCCCCGAGTCCTCCTGAACAGTGCACACGAACCTCCCAACCTAGCAGCTTGTGTTGCCTCCACCTGCCACCTGGAGGCATTCCCTGTGGCCACTGATTTCTCATGCAAGCTGGCCTCAGTCCCTAGAAGGGAAATGAAAGAGAAAGACCTGGATCTAGCAATGAGCCATGGTGGATATGTGGGGGAAACACACACACACACACACACACGCACACACACACACATGCACACACACACACCCAATAGCCCCTACCTTTCTTCCCTTCATCTCCTGGGCCCCACCTCAGATCAGAAAAATTCTGGGTGGGGTGGGGCCCATGGTTCTCCCTTCATGAGTTCACTCTTAGTGACCTTAAGTGGTTTAATGGGGTGGTGCATCAGGGCCTTTTTAAGTAGATCCATGCTGCTTAAATAAATTGATGTTCCCATCCCTTGTGATTCACCTGTCAACTAGTGGACTAATTAACCCTCCACCAGAAAACTCAAAGTACTTCTGAGGGAACAATGTTTGTGCTAACAAGCATTGGGATTGATGGCATAAAGGTCACACAGAGCAAATATCGATGGAAGGTTCAGCATATGCTGGGTACAGCTTGAGGCCCTGGGGAATCAGAAGTGAATAATGCAATGTCCTTCCTTCATGGAGTTTATATTCTGGAAATACAATAGGCAAGGAAGCATGTGTCCAGTGTTGATGGGTCCTAGTAAGAAGATAAAGCAGAGTAAAAGGCTGGAGAACAATGTGTCGGGGAGAGGGAGCCCATCTCAGATAGGCGAGTGGAGTGAACCGTGCGGCGGGTGGGCAGAGTAACCCACAGACCAAAAGGTGCAAAGACCCCGGAGTGGGAGCACGGTTAGTGTTTTTAAGAAATAGAGTGGAGGCCAGGCTGGCTGGGTCAAAACAGGGAGTGCGGTGGGGGAGAATGGAATGGGGAGGATCCGAGTGGTGGCCTTGGGCCACAGCACATGGGACCTTGTGGTCTTTAGAACACATGTGCCTGGGGTTAGGGTAGCCAGGAACACCCCTGTCTGTTTGGGAGTCAGATTCCTCTCATGACTACCTTTACACCATTATTTCCAGTTGACACATGGTCAGACCAGAACCCTGTCCCTCTGTTTTTGCTTTTCTTTGTTTTCATTAAGTTTTCCTAGAGCCTTTGTAACTGTCCTCTGGGCAAAGCAAGAGCTGATAGGGTGTCAGGGTCAGGGGACATGATGTCAGAGAGAATGGAAAGGGGGCATAGCAAAAGGCAAGGCTGAGACAGACATGCTTATTTTCATCAGTAGGGATTAGGAATACCCAGTGCCTTGTTTAAAAAAAAAATTGGGGGGGGCGCCTGGGTGGCTCAGTCATTGAGTGTCTGCCTTCGGCTCGGGTCATGATCCCGGGGTCCTGGGATCGAGCCCCGCATCGGGCTCCCTGCTGGGCGGGGAGCCTGCTTCTCCCTCTGCCTCTGCCTCTCTCTCCCTCTCTCTGACTTTCATGAATAAATAAATAAAACATTAAAAAAAATAAATTAAAAAAATTAAAAATTAAAAAAAAATTTTTGCGGGGCACCTGGGTGGCTCAGTTGATTAAGCATCTGCCTTCAGCCCAGGTCATGATCCCAGGGTCCTGGGATCAAGCCCCGCATCGGGCTCCCTGCTAAGTGGGGAGCTGCTTCTCCGTCTGCTGCTCCCCTCAGCTTGCGCTCATGCCCGCATTCTCTCTCTCTCTCTCTCTCTCTCTCAAATAAATAAATAATCTTTTTAATAAAAAAATTTTCTGCACACGACATCTCTGGGAAATCTTCCTTCCATTTTTGTTAAGAAGTGACACCTGTTTGGTTATTCAGCGCTTGGTTAGTTACTGGTCTTCAGGGCAAGCACCATCTCCTTCCAGATTTGACTCCATTGCTCCCCACACCTTTTCTGCATGCAGCACGAAAACTCAAATGTTAAGAAGAGAATGACCCACACAGCAAAAAGTCTAGAGACCCTTATCACATGAAAAATGATTAAAGAAACTGGTCATATTGAGCCTAGAACAAAAGACTCGGAAGGTCCCCCGTTGTTTGAAGGGCTGTCATGTAGCCAGATTGTGTAACTGAGGCCATTGGCATATGGCCCTGAGAAGCAGACAATGACTCACATGAGTAACAGGATCTTAAAGCTGGAAGGAAATCTTGTGGTTTCTCAGTTCAAGTTTTTCATTTCTCAGGTGGAAAGCTGAGACCCAAAGAGATCGTTACTCCCTAGAATTACGTAACTGGTCCGTGGCAGGGGCAGAATCAGCTGGAGATTTATCTCGTCCGTCCAGTCCCATCACCTGCACCGTTCCACCAGGGAGAACTTTCTGACAAACAGAGGAAGCCCGAACATGCCAGCTTCCGGCAAACGAGACTTCTTCAGCCTCCTTTCCTCTGCCCTTTCCTCAGTGTGCAGCTCAGGGATGCATCAGAACTGAAAAGAAGGAGAGATCGGCAGAAAAGAGTAATACCACTGCCAGGGAAGCACAAAACAATAGGACTTGAGCCAAATAAGTCAATATCATACATTTGGCCATTTAAACAATCCTGTTCTTCAGAATATCTAAGAATAATGTGAAAACTCTGGCATCAGAGTTCTTTGGATGCAAAGAACAGAAACCAACTCTGGTTTTAACTAAAGCAAAAGAAGGAAATGTTTAGAAGGTTGTAGGTAGCTCAGTGTCTTCATCAGGTCAGGCAGGTGTAAAAAAAAAAAAAAATACTGTAGTCCGAGTGGCTTCTAAACAACAGGAGTTGATTTCTCGTGGTTCTGGAGGCTAGGAAGTCCAGATCAAGGCGCCAGCAGATGTAGAGTCTGGTGAGAGCCAGCTTCCTGGTTCACGGATGGACGGCCAGCTTCTCGCTGTGTCCTCACGGGGCGGCGGAAGGGTGAGTGAGCTCTCTGGGTCTCTTCTCTAAGGGCACTCCTCCCACTCACGAGGCTCCACCCTCAGGACCTCATCTCCTCAAAGGCCCCACCTCCAAATGCCATCACTTTGGGAATTAGGTTTCAGCCTATTAATTTGCGGGGGAGGGGAC